GTGACGGTAGTCCTTACTTAGACTAGGTGACAGATCTGTGCACTCTCCAGATGTCAACAGGCCATTCTGTTTATCACAGAGAGGGTAAGGTTTCGCATCTTCTCAGACTATGAATCCGCTGTGTTGTCGAATCCTCCAGTTGTGGTTGAGACAGAATAGTACTGAACTTAACCATGGTCTTGATGACTCTGAAGTCTTTAGAGGATATTGTGACAAATTGGTGCCTCAACAACATAAGTAATAATGTCCTCCAAATATCTCCTTCTAACTGTGCTCATCACCTAGATCATTATACCCTACAAAGGCTGGTTTGGAAACCACTGAGCAGACCACGTTCATTGACTTGACCCCAGCCACCATGTCGCAGTCCTTTCCAGGGCTGTCCCTGATATGTGGAGACAAGGAAGTATCAGCATCATCCTAGACTGAGTCTGCACCAACAATAGTGTCGCCTGGAATCATACCCCAAACCACACTGACGTTTCACCAGGCAGCCGTAAGTCAGATGATGAATTATTACCTTCGATTTCACAGCAACACAATCTGTAGACCATATTCAGGCACCTTAGCAACTTTTCCTGGAACCTGATCCCGAGACACAGCTCATTTGTTATGCCAGCATAAATGATGCTCCATAGAGGAAAAGAAAGGGTTTTAAGGAGTGGCAGCAAATAAGTGAAAAGCTATCCGTGGATCGGGACAGGATCAGAATACATAATGGTTCAATGAAAAGCCCAGCTAGGTTATTGAAACCAATCTGTGATTGCAAGAGCTGGACTCTGAAATATAAAGGGCTCTCTGAAGTTGATAGACATTCTAATTTTGATTTAGTGAGGTCCTTCTCATGGGATGACTAGTGGACCTCGGAGAAGGTATTCAGAGACTAACCAGAGAGGGAATACCTTCAAAACACTTTTAAAAGGTGGCCATAACGTGCCAGCGTGTTAAAAGGTGTTCCTGAATTGAACTGGGTTGGATGAATGATTTGTAAGAAACATTTAGAACCAATAATTATCAAAGTAACTCAGATATCTACAAAATATATGCACAAGTCTGCCAAGACCACGGGAGGCGGCCTCTCAAAAGACCCGATGAAGGATTCAAGCAGAATAACGTGTCGCTGTTCATGTCAAAGATAGATATGTGCGACCTTTGCATCAGTCGTGAAGTTGACAATGTGCTAGGGGATCTTTGGAATGCTCACATTCTAGAAAAGGAGGCGGCGTGCAAAGAAAAGGAACGAGATAAATCTGAGGCCATCAAATCTCTCGCCAGTAATGAACCTAAACCGGCCGTACTTTCAAAGGATCTTCAACATCAGCCTTATATTACAAAACAAAACTCGCCGTTCATAACTTTACGCTATTGGATGCTGCAACACGCCAGACTACTTGTTACGTGTGTCATGAAGCAGAAGGGGGACTTATGGCAAATGAGTTTGCTTCATGTCTATTGGATTTCCTGAAGGAAAAGCTGGACCTACAGAAAACCATCATCGACAGCGACTGCTGTGGTTACCAATACAGAAATGCCACACTAGCCAATGTTTCTCTCAGCTTGTTTTCAACAACACATGGAAGCACAATTGAACAAAAACATTTTATCAAAGGACACACACAAATGGAAATTGACAGTGAGAACTCAACTATTAAGAGATCGCTTCGAAAAACAAGCATCGAGGTCCTCCATGACTACTTCCATTTCTTCAGGATGGCAAGAGCAAAACAAGAAACTTATCAAAACAAATAGTTGGATCTGACATTCTTCACGAAATATTGTAAGTGTGGAAGCTACGACAAGTCTATAAGACAAGGTAGAAAAACGGGTGATCCTGTTGTCACCGACATCAGGTGTTTGAAGTACACCCCAAACATGAACATCCAGTTCAAGCTGCACCTCAGTGATGAAAGGGCTGACGTTCCGAAGACAGGACACAGAAACAAAAGGTCCACCCTACCTCACAACTCTACACAAAACGTTTTAAGTTCCAGCACTTCAAGTACAATCACCTACATGTGCTTGAATCTGTTATTGCCAATATGCATCGTCACTTTATGACAATTACTACCATTAACATTTATGGCTGTTCATTATGATTCAACATCACTTATGAAAACCATCTGTAGTGCAAACAGATACCACATTGCAGAGATTTATTATTCATTTGTGCTCTTTAGTAAAACTGGAAGTAACCAGATCTAATCTTGGCAAATTATAGTGAAACAAATTGCATTAATTGCAATCGGTTTGAGGATTCAAACATAAATGCTGCATGTAACCCACATATATTTGACTTCAGTTGGCCAGTAATCAAACTCCAAACTAATTGGTCTTGAAAAAACATCTTTATCACTTTGTGGCGTTTCAAACAACAGACGCATAATGAAACCCAAATGAGCAGAGAGAACACTCACAACCCCCAAACTCTGTCCTGATGAAACCTCGCAACCCTCCCGCCGGCTGACTACGAGGTTTCATCACGACAAAAATGTTGTAATGAAACCTTGCAACCCACAGCGTAACTACATAAACAATAGAAAAGTTATTTTTATGTACTGACCACGTTTCTAAGGTGTTTTCATACATCTGTATCGACTTTCGTTCATATAGGTCATTTTATTCAAGAGCAAATCAATTGTTTGTCTCTCCTGTAAAATTTTTCTTTCTGGGTTTACGAGGTTTCATCACTCCACCAGCGATATATATATAAATATATATACAGAGAGAGAGAGAGAAAGAAAGAGAGAGAGAGAGAGAGAGAGAGAGAGAGAGAGAGAGATAGAGAGAGAGAGATAGAGAGAGAGAGAGAAAGAGAGAGAGAGAGAGAGAGAGAGAGAGAGAGAGAGAGAGAGAGAGAGAGAGAGAGAGAGAGAGAGACTGCTCATAACTATCCCAGGAGTTGAAGACAAACTTAACACAACTGTATCAGAAAAACTGAAAAGGATAACAAACGTACTCACCAATTTTAAGGTTAAAGTATTCCACTTCAGGATCACAGCTCACGTACAGCTCTGTAAAGAACGCAAAAAAGAACACAAATAATTTTGAATTTTCCCGATTATTTTTAAGGAAGCTGCCATAAATGATATTCTGGCTGATCAGTATAATTGGGACTACAACGTGAGGCCCAAGTTGACTTTGGCTCAAATACACGATGTACTGATTTAATGTTGAAGAGAGTGTTCAGTCTTTTTGCAAAAAGATAACGAGTCTAATGTGTACATATTAAATAAAACATTTTCTCTTCCCCGTGTTCAATACCTTACACCATCTCAGCCTACACGTTGCCTGTGTGCGGTAACTGTGACTAATGAGACACCTGACCTTAGATAATGTGGTGTGCACTAACATGTAGTAGTAGTAGTAGTATAAGGTTTTACGGCGCTCGCAACTGCTAAGGTCATATGAGCGCGCGAAACACAAGTTGTTCACTTCTGCGAAAGTTCACTTCACGACTGGTAACTAATTTACT